CCGATTACTTTCAAAACAGTAAATATCCGAGGCTATACCCTTCACAGGACATAGTGAACACAATGTGAACATCGCAGCTCATCACCCTCGCTACGGAATCAACGTTCAACAACAGTTGTTGGTGGCAGCTGGAAAAACCTAACGCAAACACTCTACGGACATTCAGATGACCATTTCAGACTTCAGAGGCGTCCCTGTGATTCGCAATAGGATCCTATCCTACTTAAAGAGGGGCATGGGAAGGAAGGGGGGTGTTTGACCCTAACCCTCTCCCTATGACACTGCCCATACAATTACAAATCACCATGTCACTTCAACGTTGGGCATGAAAATAGACATTCTTTCTAAGATATAGATAAGACAGACATTCTCTCTTAGATATAGATAAGAGACTCGTTTCTCTTTCCCCTTGTTACGTTCTTCCAGTCGCTTCTCGTTCTACGACTCTACAGACCATCGTTAACTACTATACAGCAATTATGGGAAAATGTGGTAAATCAGAATGGTTGTATAACAGTGTCCTAACTACCAATCCGTGTCTCTTAACTACCAATTCACTTACCTTGCGGAGTGACGATGACGACCACGAGAACTGAGAGGAAGACTGATACACTCATCTTAGCGGGGTCCTGTTTACACTCCCTGCACCAGTTGGCGGGGTCCTGTTTACACTCCCTGCACCAGTGGGTGAGGGTCCTGTTTACACTGCCTACACCAGTGGGTGGGGTCCTGTTTACACTCCCTACACCAGTGGGTGGGGTCCTGTTTACACTCCCTGCACCAGTGGGTGGTGGGTCCTGTTTACACTGCCTACACCAGTGGGTGGGGTCCTGTTTACACTCCCTGCACCAGTGGGTGGGGTCCAGTTTACACTCCCTGCACCAGTGGGTGGGGTCCAGTTTACACTCCCTACACCAGTTGGTGGGGTCCTGTTTACACTCCCTGCACCAGTTGGTGGGGTCCTGTTTACACTACACCAGTGGGTGGGGTCCTGTTTACACTCCCTGCACCAGTGGGTGGGGTCCAGTTTACACTCCCTACACCAGTTGGTGGGGTCCTGTTTACACTCCCTGCACCAGTTGGTGGGGTCCTGTTTCCACTACACCAGTTGGTGGGGTCCTGTTTACACTCCCTGCACCATTGGGTGGGGTCCTGTTTACACTACACCAGTGGGTGGGGTCCTGTTTACACTACACCAGTGGGTGGGGTCCTGTTTACACTACACCAGTTGGTGGGGTCCTGTTTACACTACACCAGTTGGTGGGGTCCTGTTTACGCTCCCTGCACCAGTGGATGGGGTCCTGTTTACACTCCCTGCACCAGTTGTTGGGTCCTGTTTACACTCCCTACACCAGTTGGTGGGTCCTGTTTACACTCCCTACACCAGTTGGTGGGTCCTGTTTACACTCCCTACACCAGTTGGCGGGGTCCTGTTTACACTCCCTACACCAGTTGGTGGGTCCTGTTTACACTCCCTGCACCAGTTGGCGGGGTCCTGTTTTCACTCCCTGCACCAGTTGGTGGGTCCTGTTTACACTAACTACACCAGTTGGCGCGGGGTCCTGTTTACACTCCCTGCACCAGTTGGTGGGTCCTGTTTACACTAACTACACCAGTTGGCGGGGGGTCCTGTTTACACTCTCTACACCAGTGGGTGGGTCCTGTTTACACTCCCTACACCAGTGGGTGGAGGGTCCTGTTTACACTCCCTGCACCAGTGGGTGGAGGGTCCTGTTTACACTCCCTGCACCAGTGGGTGGAGGGTCCTGTTTACACTCCCTGCACCAGTTGGTGGGTCCTGTTTACACTCCCTACACCAGTGGGTGGTGGGGTCCTGTTTACGCTCCCTACACCAGTGGGTGGTGGGGTCCTGTTTACGCTCCCTGCACCAGTGGGTGGAGGGTCCTGTTTACACTCTCTGCACCAGTTGTAATTTTAACACTTTAACCAATCACTTCACTTAAGCTGCTGGGCACTTTATAAATCTCTAAACATCTGTTCACTTGTTCATCGTGAAATTAAAACTGAACTAATTTTACTGAGTTTGTAATTTATTAATATTATTGTTCACTAATTTCCTTAATAGTAAAGTAAGGCAATGGAAAAATAAGAGGAAAGAAATAAGCTTCAGTTTCAGGAAGACAGCTTCAGTTTCAGGAAGACAGCTTCAGTTTCAGGAAGACAGCTTCAGTTTCAGGTAAGCTCGACTCCTGCAATCTCTTTCTATAATCACTGCAGTCAACTGTGAAACTGTCGGTGTCTAAAGTTAGTTTTTACAATGATTTTCAAACAGGTTTTAGAGATACATATATATGTATCACTCTCCAGCTGTGTCCTGTGATGAGGGAGGGGGGACAGAGATGTATCTGTACAGTCACTGCTCACAGGACAGTTCAACACAGTCACACCTGGTGTAGGTACCCCCTGTCACCTCCACCTGATGAAGCTTCCACTCGTGAATAATAATCCAGTCATTCAAGATGAGAAATATTTCCACCGTGTATTTTATATTTGTTATATATGTTCGTTAGTGCTCTTTTTCTGTTAGGAAATAGTTATAATGCAGAGAATTGACTTATATTGTTGCATTCCCTGTGGAGGTCAACATTTTAGGTAAATCAAAACAAAGTTAGAAATATGACAGATGAATACATTTTGTAAGTAATAAGTAAAGTAATTATTAAATATGCGAAATGCCTGGTTAAAGTGTACAAATAAAGACTATACTTAACAACCGACACGTAAAATACACTAAAATACATCTAATAAAGCAGCCTATCCTCCTGTTTTGGTAGTTTTAATAGTCACGATGAGGACTATAGTACATATACCGACATACAACGGAATTAGAAAGTAGAAATCCGCACTATCGAGTTAGACAAACCGGAAACTATTGTCTATTTATGTTACAAAGATAAACTAAACTAAACTAACCTTCCTAGGCTTAATACATGCTATCTGAGGCCTAATATAGTACATATGTGTGCTATACTAGGCCTAGGAGTATTTATGTTAGTTTTTTAGTTTCATTTATTCACTCTATAAAGTGAATAGTACAAAGTTTTAATATCTAATAGCTTAATACGTCAATATTTGTACTATGATGCAAATAGTTACAAAAACTACTATGTAAACTGGAGAATGGGTTGAATTAATGGCCTATGTTATCCTCTCGTGTTCATTATATGGAATGTCTTTAAAGTTTACATTATTCATACTTTCTGATGATCCAGTCTCTTATATATCCCCCCCCTCTCTACTCCTATTCATCACATCTACACCCACTTCTATTTCTCTCTCTCAGTCTTGTTAGCCTCTGCCATTCTCGCTTTATCATTCTCTTTGGATTTTTCATTATTTTTCTCTCTCATTCACACGGTTCTCCAGTTCCAGCTATGCTTTCTTCAATATCCTCCTCCACCTAGCCTCCACCTAGCCTCCACCTAGCCTTCACCTAGCCTCCACCTAGCCTTCACCCAGCCTCCACCTAGCCTCCACCTAGCCTTCCCCTAGCCTCCACCTAGCCTCCACCTAGCCTCCACCTAGCCTCCACCTAGCCTCCCCCTAGCCTTCTCCTAGCCTCCCCCCAGCCTCCACCTAGCCTCCACCTAGCCTCCACCTAGCCTTCCTCCACTGTCCTCCCCCGCCCATCCACCTCCGTCTGGCTCTGGTCCTCGAAGAAGCAGGACTGTCTACAAGTAATAATATGCCAGATAAAAAGGAAACTTCTGACATATTTGGAGTATGATCTTGAGCAAAAGTTGGAGAGAAGTTATTAAGAAGCTGTGAGCCTTGCAAGTTATAATTTAAAGTTATTTTGAAGAGTGAAAGCTTCAACCTTTTGTAAGTTATACTTTTAAGTTATTACGAAAATTCTTACAAGCTAAGCAGCCTAGAAGTTGTAGTTTAAGGTTAATAAGCAAAATATAACAAGTTATAGCCTTTGAAATTATAATTTTGTTATTAAAATGTGTACAAAAAAGGTATAATTTCAAATTCTATTTGTAGAAAAGTGCAAAAAAGCTCGAACTTGGAAACTTAGAATTTAAAGTTATAGAGGAAAGTTTAAGCTGTCACACTCAAACTTAAACATGCATGTTAGTCAGGAAAAAATACAATAATTGTTATCCAAGAAAAATATAATTGCAATATATTTCGAAAAACACCAAAATAAACTAAAGCTAAACATCGAAAATTAATGTCTAAAGCTGTATTCGTTAAACATATACATCAACATTCTAATATTTATGTGTTAGCACACCTAACATTCAATAAACATTATTATGAAAGCTGAAACTGACGTTCCTGGTCAGTAAACCTCTGATTTATGAGAGAAAGTTACAAATCATAAATCAATCTGATTTATGATTGATTTATGAGAGAAAGTTACATTTGGCGATTTATATACGACAGAAAATTAATGCTGAAGATTGATATCATGGAGAAAGCTTAAATAACATATGGATATACGAGAGAAAGTTTAAACAAAATATTAAACTTATAGCAAAAGTTTGAATCAGAGAGCAATTGTCTGAATTAGAGAGTTAGGGAGCAAATATTTGAATTAGAGGGTTAATGTTTGAATTATAGAGTCAGAGAGCGAATATTTGAATTAGAGTTAGGAAATTGAATTATAGAGATAGGAAATAACGTAGAAAAAGAAGATAGGATCGCACTGAAAAATAATAAGGTGAAAAATTCCTGCCTTTCATAAACTAACTGGAGCCGGAGCGTCGGAAGGACCCATTAGCAGAAATTTAGGATATTTAAAATTTCGAAGTACGATAAGTTGTGCTATAATTCAGTGGTGAAAATTAGAAGAAAAACCCATGTGAGGAAAAATATATGAAACAGATATTTAAATTAAAATTGGATTCTACAAAATCTTTAATAAACCACGATATAAATAGTAAGAATCAAATGGAACATAATAGAAAGATGATTACAAAAAAAATAAAAGTTTGGCTAGTTAAAAACATGATTTGAAATTAACGAAAAGTTCATTCGTTAATTGTATTAGTGATGTAGGTCACTCTAGTATTAGTGACGCAGGTCACTCTAGTGTTAGTGACGCAGGTCACACTAGTATTAGTGACGCAGGTCACACTAGTATTAGTGCCGCAGGTCACACTAGTATTAGTGACGCAGGTCACACTAGTATTAGTGACGCAGGTCACCCTAGTATTAGTGACGCAGGTCACACTAGTATTAGTGACGCAGGTCACTCTAGTATTAGTGACGCAGGTCACCCTAGTATTAGTGACGCAGGTCACACTAGTATTAGTGACGCAAGTCACACTAGTATTAGTGACGCAGGTCACACTAGTATTAGTGACGCAGGTCACACTAGTATTAGTGACGCAGATCACACTAGTATTAGTGCCGCAGGTCACACTAGTATTAGTGACGCAGGTCACACTAGTATTAGTGACGCAGGTCACACTAGTATTAGTGACGCAAGTCACACTAGTATTAGTGACGCAGGTCACACTAGTATTAGTGACGCAGGTCACACTAGTATTAGTGACGCAGGTCACACTAGTATTAGTGACGCAGGTCACACTAGTATTAGTGACGCAAGTCACACTAGTATTAGTGACGCAGGTCACACTAGTATTAGTGACGCAGGTCACACTAGTATTAGTGACGCAGGTCACACTAGTATTAGTGACGCAAGTCACACTAGTATTAGGTACGCAGGTCACACTAGTATTAGTGACGCAGGTCACACTAGTATTAGTGACGCAAGTCACACTAGTATTAGTGACGCAGGTCACACTAGTATTAGTGACGCAGGTCACACTAGTATTAGTGACGCAGGTCACACTAGTATTAGTGACGCAGGTCACACTAGTATTAGTGACGCAGGTCACACTAGTATTAGTGACGCAGGTCACACTAGTATTAGTGACGCAGGTCACCCTAGTATTAGTGACGTAAGTCACACTAGTATTAGTGACGCAGGTCACACTAGTATTAGTGACGCAGGTCACACTAGTATTAGTGATACACCTCATCAAAACAATGCTGACACTATTGTACACATATATAATACTTTTAGTGTCAACAGATGAAATTAAATTTTGTATAAATCGCTGACAAATCTTCAAAGTCAAATGTGTATTGTGAACAAAATAATTGATGGAGGCCACGCTGGGGCTGTTATTATAACTTTCTCTTGGAGTAAATATTCTACTGAAAGTTGAACAAACTAACTTAATTGTAAACAAACATTAATCAATTAACTTATTTATTTGATTTGAATGATATGAAATAAATATTTTGTTTCCAGCGATAGTTAAACTAATGATAATATTTTGACATGTTAATTCAGCGATTTAAGGCGTATGGGGGAGACGCCGCTCAGCTACTGTGCGCTCCTGGGTAGTTAACTTGTTATAATGGTAAACAACTGTACAGTGGAGTAGTTAACATATAAATAATCGTCTTCATGAAACTATTCACTGGACATTTTTATCGTCGTCTTTACTATCCAAGTCTTGGCAAACGAAAGAATAAGAACAATTACTTTTCTTTCGCTAAATAATCAGTTTCAAGAAAAAGTATTTTACAGGTGGGAGTGAACGCAAACCAGCCACTCATATGCATACAAGTTCAACAGTACTGCACGGCGGTCAGTTCAGAGGCCAGTGATCTCAATCACCACTTGAGGGAACCCATGAAGTACTGGCAACTCCACCACCACTGGCCCGGGGCCGGCCAGTGGTGGTGGGTCGCCCCGCGCACAGCCCCCCAGAACGTCCGACTCACAACAAGGCCGAGGCGGGACTGACTGTCTCTCTCTCTCTCTTGCCCTCACCCCCAGCTACCATGGGGGCCCTCGTGGGGGGTGTCCCAGCGGGGCTCAGCACCTGTCTGCTCAGGTGAGGAACCCCTGGGGAAGGGCCGATGGTGTTAGTGCAGTATCTTTGTATTTTGGTGATGTTAAGGATGATCACATGTTCCTGGACTGCTTCCCTTCTGACCAGAGGTGAAAGCGTTTGTGAAATCTATTTTTACAACTGCCTTGTCCTTTGGGGAGAGAGGTGATATAGGCTGGTGCAGCACAGGCTGCTGTTTCACAGTCTTGGGGGGATCCCAAACCCCGGCTGGTTGGGTTGCAGCATCCTAGCTGCTTCCATTCTCATACTTCTGACAGCTGCTTTTGCAAGATGTATAATAAAGATGCTTGCAAGATGTGTAATAAAGATGCTTTCAAGATGTATAATAAAGATGCTTGCAAGCTGTATAATAAAGATGAGGTATTTTAAGATAGAATGTTGCCATCCTGGTATACATTCGACTTATGGTTTTATTGAGCAGTATTTAAAATAATTACTTTTGTGGTTAAAATGGCATATGAATTTGAAACAAAATATTTCTTGAATTTAAGTTAAAATATATTTGAATAATTTATCATAATTGTAATAACAGAATTAATTATTTGTTAATACATTTGTATGTGGACGCAATAATATTCACACAAACACCTTCTTCAGTTATGCCTTCAGTATCCACACAGGAGAGAAAAGCTAAAATAATCGAAGCACTTCTGTGATTAAACACATTACACACAGAAATCACAATAGCGTGATGCGTCAAATGAACAAATCACGGCCCTTGTGGATTTGTTCTGATGATTTAACCCATTTTCATTAGTAGAGCAGACAGAGAGTGCCAGACCGAACCTGGACCAAAGCACAAAGGTGTATAGAACACCTCTGTGCTTTGTCTTATAACATAAGGTCAGGTCCTTAACACGTGTATAGCATAAGGTCAGGTCCTTAACACGTGTATAGCATAAGGTCAGGTCCTTAACACGTGTATAGCATAAGGTCAGGTCCTTAACACGTGTATAGCATAAGGTCAGGTCCTTAACACGTGTATAGCATAAGGTCAGGTCCTTAACACGTGTATAGCATAAGGTCAGGTCCTTAACACGTGTATAACATAAGGTCAGGTCCTTAACACGTGTATAGCATAAGGTCAGGTCAAGACAGTATTTAAGCCGTATTGAATAGGTTGAGGACAGTAAGCGGACGGAATGAACAGTGCTGCCAGATTTATAATTAAATGACGTGCAGGCGATGAGTCACAATAACGTGGCTAAAGTAAGTTGACCAGACCACACACTAGAAGGTGAAGGGACGACGATGTTTCGGTCCGTCCTGGACCATTCTCAAGTCGATTCAATAACAATTGTTATTAAATGACGTTATTAGCTAGGGGATAATACACGTACTGTGTTATTGTGTGTAGATTGAGAAGAAACTGAACACGAAACTGCCAGTAGAGTATAAGGCATTGTTTACCACAGGGCGGCAAAACAGTTGATCCGAGACAACTTCTGCAAAAGGTCAGATGTAACACAAACAAGGTCCAACGGTTTCAAGCTCAACAAGCCACAATGTTGGATAGAAAACTGGAGATGCTTTTTCACCCACAAGGTTGTAAGCCAATGGAACCTCCTATCCGCCGAAGCCGTAAATGTCAAAATACTGCTGAATTTCAAAATCTAGCTCCATAAAATCATCAGGACAAATGAGGAGAGGGGGGGGGGACTTTTGACAAGCCGACGGCTTTCTGTCCTCATCGAGGCCACTAGAGAGATAGTGGTCCTCACGTAAATTATGTATGACATGAGCCCTTTGGACTGGCAAGAGCCTCAGACCGCTAGTAATGTGGTGAAACTAGATTTGTAACTAGTAACTTTTTATCTGTATTTATCTTATTTTATCTGACATTCTGCTGTAACTCTGTATGTTAGACTATCACTTCATCTTGTACATATAGTAACACGAAAGGTTGTTAGCAGTTAGGAAGCACAGTCTTGAAGTGCAGGTTAACTGTGTTTAATAACTAATTAATATTATATATATCTTTTAATATGTACCCAGTATGCCTGGGCAATTAACAATGCAATCAGATAATTATTAGTTTGCAAACTTGTCTGTCCTGTTAATTAAACTAAGGTATTGAGAGGAGGGAGTAGTGACGCAACGTGTGTGTGAAGCAATTATAACAATGGTTATTAACTTGGTTATCACTTATTCTTCGTGTCTTCATTTTACAACTTTTGTTGTATATCTTAGATAACAGATAAGCTGCTGTAACTTAGTCATTAGTCAGGTTTAATTGGGTGCTGAGGGCTTTAAAATAGTTCGGTGATTATCAAAATATATTACCTTCATAGGTGACAGTAGAATGAGGGTCAATACACTTGAATATCATATCATACTGGACCCCAAGAGCCGAAACTCAACCCCCTGCAAGCACAATTAGGCGAGTTCAATGAGGTGAGTACAGCTGTATATGGTTACAAAATAAATCGCTACAGGCTCATATTTTGTGATTTTTTTGTAATATTGTTGGAACCTACTTTCTTTAAACAAAACTTTCATCAACCTTTGAAGGAAAATAGATTTTTGAGATAACTTTCTCGCTTCATACACAACCTTTCACCAGGATTTTGTTGAATTTTGTGTTTTCTTTGGCTAAAGACAGCCGTTGGCACTACCTCCACCACCCCTCCGTGTCGACCCCTCCACCACCCCTCCGTGTCGACCCCTCCACCACCCCTCCGTGTCGACCCCTCCACCACTCCTCCGTGTCGACCCCTCCACCACCCCTCCGTGTCGTCGTCTCCGTGTCGACTCCCCACCATCCGTGTCGACCCCTCCACCACCCCTCCGTGTCGACCCTTCCACCACCCCTCCGTGTCGACCCCTCCACCACCCCTCCGTGTCGACCCCTCCACCACCCCTCCGTGTCGACCCTTCCACCACCCCTCCGTGTCGACCCCTCCACCACCCCTCCGTGTCGACCCCTCCACCACCCCTCCGTGTCGACCCCTCCACCACCCCTCCGTGTCGACCCCTCCACCACCCCTCCGTGTCGACCCCTCCACCACCCCTCCGTGTCGACCCCTCCACCACCCCTCCGTGTCGACCCTTCCACCACCCCTCCGTGTCGACCCCTCCACCACCCCTCCGTGTCGACCCCTCCACCACCCCTCCGTGTCGACCCTTCCACCACCCCTCCGTGTCGACCCCTCCACCACCCCTCCGTGTCGACCCCTCCACCACCCCTCCGTGTCGACCCCTCCACCACCCCTCCGTGTCGACCCCTCCACCACCCCTCCGTGTCGACCCCTCCACCACCCCTCCGTGTCGACCCCTCCACCACCCCTCCGTGTCGACCCTTCCACCACCCCTCCGTGTCGACCCCTCCACCACCCCTCCGTGTCGACCCCTCCACCACCCCTCCGTGTCGACCCTTCCACCACCCCTCCGTGTCGACCCCTCCACCACCCCTCCGTGTCGACCCCTCCACCACCCTCCGTGTCGACCCCTCCACCACCCCTCCGTGTCGACCCCTCCACCACCCCTCCGTGTCGACCCCTCCACCACCCCTCCGTGTCGACCCTTCCACCACCCCTCCGTGTCGACCCCTCCACCACCCCTCCGTGTCGACCCCTCCACCACTCCTCCGTGTCGACCCCTCCACCACCCCTCCGTGTCGTCGTCTCCGTGTCGACTCCCCACCAACAACGTCTTAACAGCCTCGGCAGGAGCCAGTAAAGAACCATAATCAGACATAAATAAAGTCTTTGAACGACCAAAGGAAAAACAGCACGCTGTTTAACAGTGATAAATTCCAACTACTTAGATATGGAAGACAAATATAAAGGCTAAGACATTAAATACAATAAGCAATCAGATCTCATCAAACGGAAACTACATTTATAATGATCTAGGACGAGGACTAATCACCCTCTAACGACCTCATGTTTATAGTAAGATTAACCAAACGAACTTATAATTAACCGAGACAATAATTGAGGGGATTTTGTGAACTTTCACATCAATAAATCCCATCCCAGTTGCTCCTACTTTTTAAATCCCTTGAGCAATCCCCCCTGTGCTGTGCTGCTCAGTACTCGCCTTCCACTTCAAGGCAAGATTCTGAAGAAGAAGGGAAGCAGAAAATACTTACGACACCATAACTCACCTAAGCT